AGTGCTGGGGGAGGGGCCCTGCCCCAGAGCCTGAGTGTCTGCCCTGCGGCCTCCCTGCTCCAGAGCCGGGCCGGGGCAAAGTGCTGGGGGGCGCCCTGGCCACTGGCCTGAGTGTCCCTGACGAGATTGGGGTGCAGGCCCCAGGCCCAGCTGTGCCGGGGTTACCAGGACTCTGCCCCAGGGCGGGGGCAGGGGAGCCCTCGAGGGCAGGTGGGCTCTGGGCTAGGGCTGCCAGATGGTTTCAACAAAAATACCGGACACACTCGACATTGTCCCAATCGACATTCCATCGGATTTAGAAAATCCCCGGCAGTTCTGTTTTCTCACTTTGTTTCCCAGACAGAAAGCTCAAATGCTGGACTGTCCGGTTCAAAACCAGACCCCTGGCCACCCTACTCTGGGCAACGGGAGCAAGATGCAGATGCTCTCGGGCCAGTGCACTGAGGTGGTGTCTGGGCCGGGCTGCCAACTCGCCAGCTGCCCTGGAGTCTCAGGAACTAAACATTCATCTGTAATAACAGACAGTGCCATGTGATGAACCCTCCAGCAATAGGTCCCATCAGAACTGGTAACCCTGGGTATAGGCCGGACAGCTCCCCATGCTAGAGGTGCCGTTTCCCTGCTTACATCTAGAAAAGAGTTTCCTTAACCGCCTCCCTGCTGTGAGGGCAAGGGAGCCGGCAGCCACAAGCAACAAGCTCCTGTGACCTCAGCCTCAGCCCCATAGGTCGCAGGTGGGGGAAGGAGCCTGTGCAGGAAGCCAGCATCTCTGCTGCCTTGCCCCTGAATGCTGCAAGGCACTAGCGAGGACCCAGCCAGTGCTGGCCTTCTGCACAGCCCCCTGCAGCCCACGGCCACTGTCTGGAACAGCTGGAGAAAGCATCTGCTTCCAGGACCAACCTGCCCCCCACAGCGCCCTGAATGTGAGCGGGGTGGGGACCCTCAGCAGGATGGGAGCAGGAGATGAGCTGGGGGGAGCAGAGGGCTGGCCATGCTGGAGATAAGCACATTCACCGCCACTTCATGGAAGCACCAGGAGCCCGTGCCAGGAGTGGGCCCCAGTTGCACTCTGGAAACAAGTGGGGGAGCGCTCGCTCTGAGCCCTCAGCTCCTACTCTGACATGGCCTTGGGGAGGCAACAGCATTTTCTCTGTCATTTCAATCTCAGCTCTAGAGTCCCTGAGGCAACCTTGGTCCCAGCGGCTGCAAGAACCTGGGGCAAAGAGGCTCACGGTCAATTCTGCGTCCGGCTCCAGCGTAAAACTGCAAAATTCAGGAGTCGTGGCTATTTCTCAGCAGTTCAGGTTTTTCTGGATCAGCAGCTTTTGCTCAGTGTGGCAAGGGCCTGGCAGTGGTAAGTCACTGGGAACCTGAGAGATGCTCCGAGTCATCGGAGCCATTTGCCTTCTCATTACAGGTTTCACCTCCAGCAACATCCCTGGGCCAGCTGACGGCTGGGAGCTGGCAGGGCAACAGGCTGCTGGTGAGGCTGGGAGTCTAGCATGTGGTAGCAGGGCTGCCCAGCGGAGGGGATTGGGGGGGGCAGCAGCAGCAGGAGGCCTGACCAAGGTTGGTGTGGGCTGGTGGCAGCGGGGGGCCAGAAATTACCTCTTCCAGCCCGCCAAAATTCCTCATCTGGGATTGGTCATAGCCCCAAGGGTGCTGGACCAGGGAGGGTTAGATTCAAAATTAATGGAGATTGCCTAGTTCCTAGAACTGGAAGGGACAGAACATTGAGTCCAGTCCCCTGCTTTCACAGCAGGACCAAGTACCATACCTGACAAATTTTTGCCCCAAATCCTTAAATGACCTCTGCAAGGATTGAACTCACAACCCTGGGTTTAGCAGGCCAATGCTCAAACCACTGAGCTATCCCTCCCCCCTGAACAATTAGAACAAATGTAACCTCTGAACTACCACCCTGGTCACATCCTGTTGGCAGATGCAGACGCTGGGGGTGTGAGCGTCGAGCTCCTGCAGATGGGCGGTTTGTCTTTGCCATGGCCACAGCAGAAGGGAAGGATTCAAGGGGCCCCTGCCCTGGATAAAGACGACGAAGAGTCTGGCCCTGGTTCCAGTCCAGTGGACGGCAGCGTGAGCAGGAGGTGGGCATGGGCAGGGGAGGGCGAAGGCTAAGCTAGCATGAGTCACGCAGCAGGACAGTGAGGTGCTTGTTAGATTTGGGAGGAGACAGAAGGGTTTTTTCTCCCTCTAGTCCTGCTCATTGCAGAGAACAAGATCGCTCCCTAAACTATACAGACCCAGTCTCTCCCAGAGGCCCCATTTCAAATGTGGGGTGGGGGGTGACCTGTGCATGTTATAATGGGGAGAAAGCACGAGTGGGGGCCAGACTGAAGACAAGCCATGCAGCAAATCGGGAGAGACTGACCCCATATACCCTCCCCCCACTTCACCTCTTTCCAGGGGCTACCAAGATACTGGAAAACGCTAGTTTTTTGGCAGATAGCTTAAAATTAGCTGACAGGAACACTGTATCTAATTTCTATATAAAAGAAAGAACATTAAATAGACCCACTCAGCTCTAATACTAATATAGTTGACATCCTGTGGCAAGTCACTCAAGGGACACTGGTTTAATTTTAATGTGTACAGTAATTACTCGTTTAACACATGCCCGCTTAACACGTTTTTTGCGATAGCACGATTTTTTTTTTAGGGAATGTTTTTTGAATAACACGACCGTCCTATAAAAGAAAGAACATTAAATAGACCCACTCAGCTCTAATACTAATATAGTTGACATCCTGTGGCAAGTCACTCAAGGGACACTGGTTTAATTTTAATGTGTACAGTAATTACTCGTTTAACACATGCCCGCTTAACACGTTTTTTGCGATAGCACGATTTTTTTTTTAGGGAATGTTTTTTGAATAACACGACCGTCCCCAAAATAATACTGTCCCGCCCCCCCCCCCATCGCCAGACGCAGTGCGGGTCCCAGCAGACCAGTCACAGGGGCACACTCCCACCCCAATCCCCCTCCCTTCTCCTCCCCTTGCCTTTCCCAGAGCCAAACACCTCCCCTCCCTGCTGTAATCCAGTCTCCTTTCTCCCCCAGCCTTATGTCCTGGTCCCCAGGCAACTGCCTGTGCTCAGCGGCCGGCTGCTAGCAAGTGCAGGCTGGAGCTGCGAGCGCACGTGCGCTTGAAATGCAACCCTCCCCTTTTCCATTACTTTCAATGGGAAAATTGACCCCGCATAACACATTTTCGCTTAGCACGATCATTTTCTGAAACAGCTACAGTGTTAAGTGAGGAATTCCTGCATTCTTCCTTTGTTACTAACGCTGCATAGAGAGAGACTGTCAGCACTCCAGGCTCTCTCTCAGCTCTGGAAGGGCAGCAGGCTCTCGTGGGTTACAGCAGGGGGCAGATACATTTGGACTCTACATAAGATCATCAGAACAGCCAGACTGGGTCAGACCAAAGTCCAGCTAGCCCAGTGTCCTGTCGGCCCACAGTGGCCATTGCCAGGTGCTTCAGAAGGCATGAAAAGAAGAGGCAATCATCAAATGATCCACCCCTTGTTGCCCATTCACAGCTTCTGGCACAGAGAAGCTAGAGATACCCTCCCTGCCCATTCTGCCTAGTAGCCATTGATGGACCTGTCCTCCTTGAACTTATTTTGTTCTTATCAGACTCCTATTATAG